TATTACCATGTTATTTACACCGATGTTACCGGATTATGTTTTCAACAACTTTTTTCCACGGGTCAAAATTATCGCGGTGTTGATACCTAAGTTATCAAGTTTGGGAGTGTATATTATCATGCTATTTACAAAAAAAATTATCAGTGGTATGTTTTCAATAACTTTGATCCACGGATCAAAGTTATCGTGGTCTTTGTACCTAAGTTATCAAGTTTAGAAACCCGATGACATGCATTGGTTGCGTGCTCCTGGTCTTGAAATGAAGATAAACATGCTACCATAATGGGAGCAAGGATTGCGTGCTCCCATCTCAATCCTCTTAATTTTCCACGAGAACTTAGGTATAAAATTGGAGGGTAAAACAACAAAAGTAATTTAGGTGAGCTGGTTGATGGGCCTCAACTTAGTTATAAGAGACTCCGGTATGAGTCCAAAGACACCCCACACACAAACATTAAATTTATTTCTAGTTTTTTGGCTGTAATGCAAAGGAGCGGTGGTATGATAAAGGAAAATGTAACTTACCTTTAATCACTGAATAGAGTTAGTTGGATTGGTTATCGGGAGGAGCCTGCACGCAGCAGGTTCAAGGATTGAATCCCATAGCTCCATCTTTTTTTCGCGAAAAATGAGCGGGCGACTGGAAGGTGGAGCGCTCGAGCCGATCCGGCTCGTTCCGATCTATTCACAAGGTGAGGACGTTCGCTCGTTAATTTTGTCGTTTAGTTTTAGCCTTTTATACTTATTCCTTCAAATATTTATGTTTCAGACAGTAAATCACATTGAAATATGTTGCAAAATATTTTCGCAATGACGTGCAGGGTATCATCTAGTATGTAGAAAAACTGGGCCACAAATGCTATGAATTCACGCCACTAACCGGCCTACATGTTCAGCCACTAACTAACTAACCCATGACCACTTCTACGTCCACTAACAGTCTAACACACTAACACCATACGTGAAGCTAGCTAACAAACCACATGCATCTAACAACTCACTAGGGTCATGCAGGAGTAATGCTAGACACACCGACGTTTACAAGGGATTACGCGGCGGTTAAAATTTAATTGGCTGGGATGTGGTTAAGTGAGGCGAGCCCACCAGTTAAAATTAGGAGGGGCAATTGGAGTAGGGCATGCAGTCCAGTCCGTGAAAGTCCGTTGCTTTCGTCCGTGCATGTAGTATTATCGGTGTCTCCTCGGCCATACGACCCAGCCGCAACTGAATGTATGCGGCTAGCAGTGACTTCCGGATCACCCAGCTCCTAATCGTGCAGCCGTCACACTCCAGCTTCATCATGTCTTGCCGTTTCGATATGGCATTGTCGTATCACACGGCATCATCGGCATCTCATCGCGCTCAATATCTCACCTCTTTTCCGTGCATAACAGAAGGTTCACCGGCCTGCGTCACCTCACTACCGTCTAAACTATATGCACATAGAAAAACAAAATATGCAGATATAAACCTAACAAGGCTGACCTTGCTGCTTACGTCATGTACTCTTTACAACTAGTTATTTATCTCTTTATACCTGTGTTGGATGAAAAGAATTCAACTGTCGACATGCATATGCTTGAAGACAGGGTTCAAATCCACAATTCCCGGTTCATGAGCAAAGCGTTCGTATTCACAGCAACCCGCCACGAAGTATCCACTTAATTGCGCTTTTCGCTCTTCTCCTGAATCAATATTGAAGGACGCATCTACGTTCAGCTCGATAAAGCCTGACGCAGCTCCGTTGGGCACGCTCGCTTGGTGCGTGTGTCCATGGAGCCTTCCTGCTATCTCTTCTGCATTGCCATAGCGGGTAGTGGCCATGATCCTCCTGAACTCCCCAGATTAGATGGCGAGGGGAACATGAACCCCATCCTCCAGAAACCGGTTCCGAAGGCGCAGCCGCTCTGTCTGCATCCATGCATCTGGAGGAGCACGTACGACAATCCAAGACGCACCCCATCCCGACATACACAAAAGCTTGATTAATAATTGCCACACGATTGATGTAACGTGATTACAATCTTTTGATTAGCTAATAATAACCATTATGTGGTTGGGTGGTTAAGAGGACACTGGTATTCTCCGTCCATTAGAGTTCAAGTTCCAGACTTGACATTGGTACTTGCACTTTCTTGGATTTATTCCAGGTCTTTCAGGGATGTGCTTTCAGTGGAAGGGGACATTCCCGTCGACTACAAATACATCTATGGCGACTTCGTCAATCTTAAAATGATGTGTCGGTTCAATCTGTCGAAAGTTCTTATAAGGGTAGAGTGTGCGTGTGTGCATCCATAGAGGTGAGGTAAGTGCGTACGTATGAGCAGTCTGCATCTGTACTATGTTAAAAAAAACCTGATTTGTTGTTTTTTTAAGAGAGACGTTGCATGTCGTTTTGGTCACATACTGCACCGGTACTTTCACGTAATCATGTCGCATCAAAAAACCGTTCGTAGCCAAATCTAGATAAGTGTCACGTAGGAATCAAAAGAATTTACATCGAATGTCAAATAGTCAAGTAAAATTTTTTATGTGAACCAACTTGTGGTTGGATGGTTAGATGGATTGTGGTATTCTCAGCCCATCAAGATTCAAGTCCTGCTGCTCGCATTTATTCCTGAATTTATTTCAGTATTTCTGACGATGCGCATTCAGTGGGAGAAGACGTTTCCGTCGATGACAAAGTGCCTACGGTGACTTCATAAATTTCAAGATAATATGTCGGCTCAGTCGGCAGGTGCTCATATGGATAGGGTGTGCGTGTGTGCGTTCATAGGGATGAGTGTATGCGCGTGTATATGAGCGCTTGCATCTGTACTGTGTTAAAAATATAAAACTTTATAGGGTTAAATAGGAAAACCCACGTTAGGAAGGTGTCAAATAAACGGTTCACTATCCCGTTGATGGTGAATTCTAGTCCGCATATAGGTTGAGGGGTAGGGACCAAACGTGCACCCCTACATGGTACTGGACAAATTTTGCACATTCCACTGGTTGTAGAACCTTCCATCGATCCTTTTTTTCGTGCTTTCTTTTGTCGGTTTTGAAATTGATGAAGAAAATTGTGAAGTATTTTTCAAAACATCAAAATTTATTAAACATTGACATTCCTTCAGATTGAGTATTTATATAATGCAGAACAAACTTTTTGTAGTATACCGTGCACATTTTCTTAATACGCGATGAACATTATTGTAAGACAAAATAAACTTTGTATGCTACAAGGATAAAAATATAAAAATAAAGAAGGAAAAGAAATAAAAATAAATAAAAACATAAACAGAAAAAGGAGAAACAAAAAGAAGAAGAAACAATGAACCGACCGTTAGCCGGCCCAAACTGGGGCCTCGGCAGGCCGCGAATCAGCGAAACCACGCCTTTTGACGCTCGCAAGCATCAAATAGGAATCACCACCTGCAAAAGGGGACTCTTCTTTAACAATCTTATATTTACTAATCGAAGGCACCATACGGGCCTCCATGTTAATCTCAACACCTAATCTAATTGTCCGTCCGATCTCATGATTAATTAACTACAGCCATACGATGATGTCCCTCAAGGAGTCCTACCCTGATGTCCCACGTGCATGCCTCTATTACAAAAACGTTTTCCTCCCATACCCTTTCCTCCATCGATCATGCAACAATAGTAAAACAATATCTAGAGCCAACCTCTCCCCGACCCCCTTCCCCCCAATCTGCGATCCACCCCTAGCCATCGAGCCAACCTCTCCCTGATCCGCTTCCCCCCGATCTGCAATCCAGCCCCAGCCATGATGTGTTGGCAATATCAAGCCAACTTCTCCCCGATCCACTTCACTTGAATCTGCAATCCAGCCCCAACCATGATGTGTTCGCTGCAAACCATCGGGGTTGATGGGGGCTGAGTAGGAGATTCTTCTAATCTCTTCATCGATCATGCCCAGTCAAACCGCAATCCACGATGCGTGATACAGTGGAGGAGGAGGCGCATCCATGGCTCTTTGAATCGGATCGGACAGCTGCCATTGTTGGCCACGGTTGAAGACTGGAGCAAGTACGGAAAACTAATGACGCCACGGTTGTCAAAAGAACTATGGCGGACTCTTCTAGCTCCAGACCTCGACGCATCGGTGAAGAAACCACATGCACGCCCTCCTCCTATTACCAGTATCATGAATAGCCGCAGGTCCTTTAGGTGGAGGTCACTAGTTAAATATGAATGAAGGTTTTATCATACAGGAAGATGAGTGAGTCTGCAGTTTTTCAAAAGAAAATTAAGGAGATGCAGGCAAAGAAGGATGTGCCATGGCATGCTAATTAAGTACTAGAGCATGCAGGTCATCATGTCTGAAGCTGCCGGCCGGCCGGTGGCATCTGGTGTGGAGGACGGACACATCACATCACCCGGTGTTGAGTAGCTAGCAGCAATGTGTAATGGTAGCCAGCTTCATAGTTTTTGATGTTTGGGTTCTCCTTCTCTCTCATATATATGCAATGCTACAAGCAACTTTCAGTTTATAGGGAGTTTTCTTTCTTCTACCGTCTTGCACATTTATATATTTCTGTCGTTACAGGAATTCAGTTTCTATTGTTTTACCTTTTCCCCACGTTTTTTAGCAGAACCACCATCTATACTTTTACTGGAATTGTGACAGTTGGCGGTAAAACGTCTGAGCATTCCAGTGCATGAGTCATATCCGAGTTGATATACAGACGTGGGCATCCGAATGCACGTATAGTTCAAGAACCTTACAATGATGGTGTGGGCCCTAGGTGGGCCCTATATGTCAGGTTCATGGCCCTACCCTTAGTAGGTGACCCCATCAGGTAACATGGTGATCTTCGAGCCAGTATAGACCAGTAAATATCAACTTTATTAAAGTGTAGAGGGAGGGTGTGGTACAATGAAAATAATGAAAACGTGAATTATTAGTCGCCAAGCACAGATTGAGTAGCATGTTCCGTGGTACAACCCACATTATGTGGCATCTTATTATTACCGATATACTAAGCACAAATCTACACATGCAAGCTTTTGAGGACCACTTGAAGCCCATATCTCGGTCGTATCGTGAATACATCCATGGGTGCATGGACATACTTTGGGGATAGTGAGACTGAGAACCTCTGCAGGATCATCGCGAGCACAACCTTGGCCTCGATCATGGTAAAGTTTTGCCCAATGCAAGCCCTGGGCCCCATAGAGAAAGGCAGAAATGCGTACGGGTGCTTTGCGGCCCTGCTCACCCCATTCTTGAACCTCTGAGGCTTGAACTCTTCAGCGTCCTCACCCCAGAGCTCCTTGTCGCGGTGTATCGTCTTGATCGGGGTCGATAGAATTGTGCCTTCCGGCACCCTAATACCCCTGAGCTCAAGATTGCTGCCTGTTTTCCTCTGGATGTTGGTGACGGGGCCATATAGCCTGAGAGTTTCTAGAATGAACATGTCGACTAGCTTCATATTGTTGAGCATGTCGCCAGCAGGGATTTCCGTGCCACTCTCTCTCGTCACCTCCTCCCTAAGCTTCTCTTGCCACTCTGAGTGGGTGCTTAACAAGAACGTGGTCCAGGTGAGCAGCTATGCAGTGGTCTCATGGCCAGCTAAGTAGAAGGTCTTGCACTCTTCTATGATCTCGTCCATGCTCATGAGTGGGTTTTGCACGTGCTCTGGCCCGCAAGCATTCAGGATTATCCCAAGCATGTCGTTCCCGTATCCCATGGTGTCCTTGCAGTTAAGGCGATTTTTGATGATGTTGACGAGTATGCTCCTCACCTCTTTGTTGAGCGTATGCATCTTTACGTTATTTTTCGTAGGAAGGTACCTGGTTAATTTCAGAAACATGAATATGCATTCATCAAACTGTTCTTTGTGAAATTGTATATTAATTGCCTGTTGATTTTGCACATGTTGCACGTGTCACATGCGAAGTATGTACCTGAATCCTGGGACGAGGTTCCAAACATTGAATAAACTAGAGAAGGCAAGAAATTGGAGCTCTTTCTGCGCCAGATAGACTTGCTTGGCCTCTTTGTGGTTTCTCCCAAATGCCACGCGTGAGATCACGTTGGCCGCAACCTTCTCGAACTGGCAACTAATATCGACTTCCACATGGCCACTACTCTTCTCCAACTTTGCTTCCCGGTCCGACAGCATCAACCCAACACAATCAGACACCGTTACTGCCAACATCTATGGAGCCAAGCAATGAGTCAGAAAAGTCCCGTACGGAAGTAATACTTCCTCCGTTCCTAAATAGGTGATGTTTATTTTTTATTTTTTTATATGGTCTCCATTAGGTGACTTGATTCGGTCACGCGCTAATATTTTAGATTAACATGTTAGAAAAGAATTATTAACGGATTTGCGTCTATACCAGTATAATAGAATTTGTATCTCACAAATTCTAATAGTTTTTTTATTAATGGAATTGCTAGTTTGCTAAAAAAAGTATTATACACCTTTAGCTTGTCGACACTGAAGACTGGGTGGACGACCTTGCGGTGGCGCTTCCACTCGTTGCCGTCGATGAGGATGAGCCCTTTGCCGAGCAAGCAGGCAAAGTGGTGGTTGATGGGATTCTTTGGGAACAGCCCCGAGCGGTCAGAGAGCACCTGCTTCACCATGTCCACGTCCCCCATGAACAATTCCAGCCTCTTCCCGGGCCACGAGACGAACGTACGTCCTGCATGCGCGCACACACCATCATCACGTACGTATGAACTACCTCCGTCCTAGTTTATTAGTCTCCTTAATACTTTGTGCCAAAATTTCCTCATGTTTAATTAATAAAATGTGAATACATGTCAGAAAAAAGTATCATCGAAAATTATGTTCAAATACGAATCCAACGATATAATTTTTTGTGACGTGCACTAATTTTTGATCAGTTATAATTCTGATTAATTAAATTTTGGCATAAAATACAAAGAGGATCACAGGACGGAGGTAGTACGATGAGAAGAAAGCGCCCGTGCAAATGGTCCAAGAAATTAAGGCGTGGACGTACCGTAGAGGGCCATCCATTTGCGAAAGTGGGGCTGCACCAGGGCGCCGTAGTCATGGCAGCCGACGTCGAGCACGAGGCCTGCGCTCTCCACGAGGAGCCGCTTCATCTCGACGATGTTGCCACCAGGAACCGGTAGTCCGGCCCGCGCACGCCCTGCGCCCGGAACGCCCTTGTTATGGCGAGGGGTGACCACAAGAACCGTGACAACGCGCTGATGATGGCCCACGACGTGGCCAAAGACGCCGCCACCGCCACCCAGATCATGGCCACGCCCATGGTGTCTTTGTTCCTGGTGGCAGACTCGATGTAGCCAAAGAGGTGGTATTTATACACCAATTTTGGCCAGCGACGGTGAAGGTCTTCTCTCGTGGAATGGTTATGGGGGTAGCCACACCCACGCACGATTTGGGTCCTTGTGTACGGATTTCTGTGACGTGAGTCACTGTGTTTGATTAAAATCGAAGGTGGCTCGGCAAACCGTGGACAAGGTTCTTTTTTTTCCTCAAAAAGAATTCAGATCTATTATCAAATGAGCTTCATCGGTAGTACAAAGCACCTCAAACATAATAAAAACTACATCGAGATTCTGAGACCACCAAACGATCACTACCGTCGCCAGAACGAACCGCCGGCGTGCCATTGTCGCCGCTCCACTAGATTAGTCAGCTTGATCTTGCCGATGAATGCAGGGGTAGTCTTCATGCACGTGCCCCTATGGACCATTGCCTTAAAGCCACGCTCATCGCAGTTGAACCCTTGAATAAATATAAAGAACCTATCCAAATCTCACCACATGATAAGAAACCCTAACCTCGCTGCCACAAGGAGACGGCAGGAACCTACGCCGAGCTCCGTTGACTATGTGCGTATCGACAAACTCGAAGAGGATCGAAGCTCAAAATACAAAGTCAAAAAAGAAGCGCCACCATCCGTCCGAGCACCACACCCGCATGGACTAAAAGATCCTAATCTAGAACTACCAACCGGAGCAGAGGCACCGGGATTCCCCTCCCAGCCACCGGCTGATGGAGCGGCAGGCCGAGGGGTGGCAAATCCACGGGCTCACCGACGAAGTTTGGAGGAAATAGTTTGTCCTAGCCTTCAAGGGACAACGAAGGAAAGGCTACAAACCGTGGACAAGGCTGCTTTCGTGAGCTCACAGTTGCCGTGACGTGTCTTCTTGGCCCAGTGCCTTGCTACTCACACTCGGCAGCAGTTTGCCGAGCGTCACGCACAACAGTGGCATAGGGTGAAACAAATAGTAAGGCGGGCCGGATGGGTTAACCTGATGGAAACTGTTGGTCTGGCTGCATAGTGTCCAGCATTCCTTCTGGGCTAGGCGGGCCAAGGCCTAAGGTAGCTTCGCCATTGCGCACAGGGACAAAATGTTCTGGAATGTACCAGGTGCCACTGCCATATGTCATCTGTGCCAAGTTCCATCCCTTTGACCCTCAGCAAGGTTCCAACGCTTGCCACATGTCTACTTGTTGGACTGCCATCTTAAGAAACACTCCGAAAAACTGTAATATAGATTTATTTCTTTGGTTTGCTCCAGCACACATTTGACTCGCATATAACATTTGACACTCATAAAACAAAATCTGCAGTTCACTAATTTGGTCCTTGCAGTCCCCCCGATGGATATATAAAAAATATTATAGAAAGACCAAAAAAAGTCATGCGATTCACTTTGATTCATGCCATGCTTCACTTCCCAGTTCGGTAACTGCACTCCGTCGTTGGAGTTTACTTGTCTATCCCCTGTAGTCGGTTGTTCTCTGGTGCAGTTCACATGGGTCAGACAAAAAGTGCAACTTGAGATTAAACATATTTCCAAAACTAGTCTTAAACCGTAAAGAATTATACATATGTTTTCGCCTCTTTGGTACTTTGGATATTGTCTGTACCCATACTATTGATGACTTTTGTTGTGTTTATGTTATGTTGGACCATGTTGGTCTCTAGTTGTATTATAATTTGGATCTTGGCACTTGTATGCCCAATTCATATATATGTTGCCTCTTTGGTAGTGAAATTGTTGTGACATTCGGTTTGCAAAGTCCTTGGCATATGACACTGTGTGTGTCCGAGATGAAGTCATAAGCTTACTTGCGGTCTCTTAGTATGTGCTTTTATTCTAGAAATGGACCTCTAAGGTCCATATTTAGAATGGTACTGCATACGGGGACTTGCACCGAGCAATGCCTGCAAAGCTTGATCTATGTTTCCTATGAGTGGTAAGATGAGCCAGGGAAGAAAGAAATATTTTCAAATGTTTATTAAATCCCCTTATTTAAAACATACATAACTTATTATAAGATAATGATACAAGTAAGAAAATTTGAAGTGTTTTTTTATTTGCCATACGGGATTTGTACTGACTATGTGTGAAAATTCTTGTTCACGGCATTTATTCTTCATCGCATGTGTGGATGTGCATGCTTGCGTGCATGCACTATAAACGTGCGAGCATGTGCATGTGCATGTGTAAGGCGGCCAACTCCCGTAGGAAGGATCGGCGTGCTCCGGCTTGACGCAGAGGGACACGACGTCGACGCCGTCCGTTCCCTTGCATGGCGGGCACATGACGCAGACGTTCATGGGCACCCGCTCTGCCGGTGACAGTGGTGGCATCACCCGCGCCGGTCCCCCACGCCCAAAGTCTACCGCGTCGAACCCAAGGTTCCGCAAGCTCGTCACAACCAGCGTGTTGTGCCTCGGAGGGGGGTTCTCCTGCTGCTGACCCACCCCGGCACAGGCGCTGGTGGTCTCGTCGCCGCCGTCCGTGATCATACCCTGTATTATCTCCTTGGCAAGCCTTATGAGCTTCACCAGGTCCTTGATGTCGCCGCTCGCCACCGTGCTGCTCTTCGCCTCCACCGGCTGACTCCCGACGCAGTTGCCGTAGTAGCCGCGCTTGGCACGCACTAGCCCGCGCAGGTCGCTCGAGAAGACGAGGGCCGCTGGCGTGTCGGGGTTGGAGATCACCACGCGGGTGCGGCACTGCCACAGCACCGCTGCGACGGCGTCGAACACCGTGCAGTCGCCGCCACACTCGGCTTTGATGCAGCTGATCAAGCTCCATGAGATGGTGACGTGGAGGCATGCCATTTCCTCCATTCCAACCCTCATCCTAGACCTCATTGCGGTGACGACAGGCGACGGGAGGCGCGGGATTGTGCCATCGGCTTCGGACCGGACCGGAACGACGGACGGCGTTGGCATCCCACGGGCGAGCTCGGCGACGGCCTGGAGGAACTGCGCCATCCCAGCCGCGTCGGCCAGGACGTGGTTCCACTAGCGTGGTGTCGCTGGGGCGGCAATAATCGGCAGGGTAGCGCACGGCAAGGTCCCCGAGGAGCAGCGGCGACATCATGAGTTGGTCCAGCGCACAGCTAGCCGACGCGCTCACGAACGAGACGCCCTCTCCCGTGCACAAGATGTGGATCGGCTCCCCATCGGGTCCGACGACGAGGCGGCCAGCCATAGGATAGGGTGCCTCCGACAGGGCCTTCTTGACTGTCTCAGCAGGTTCATCGATTGGGTGGTCGAAGACGAGGAGCAGCGTGACAGGAACAGGAGCGAAACACTTGTCGAAAGAGGAGAGGTTGATAATGCCAGTGTGGTATCTCCAGCCCACCAGGGTTCAAGTCTTGATGCTCGCATTATTCCTGGATTTATTTTAGGATTTCTGGCAATGCGCATTCAGTGGGAGGAGACGTTCCCCTCGACGACGAGACGCCTACGGTGACTTCGTAAATCTCAAGATGATATGACAGCTCGGTCTTTCGAAAGTGCTCATAGGGATAGGGTGTGTGTGCGTGCGCGTGTTCATAGGGGTGAGCGTATGAGTGTATGTATGAGCGCTTGCGTCTGTGCTGTGTCAAAAAAAAACATGTAAGTCCCACATACAATGCTGACGACATTGACCACGTGTCGCCTCTCTCAGCGACTATATTTGCTACTTCTAATATAGTCTATTTGTTATTTGTAAAACAGCTAAATATTATAATTTCTAGGCCAACCAAGAATTGTATAGGAATTTTTATTAATGACATATATTATATACTAAAAGACGAGGCGGATGGCAAAGCGAAGTCTATAAAAAAATAAAAACTACTTACCGCACCCTTGTATATTTCAATGTACACATATAATACATTTATAGAGTACTTATTTTCTA